TCCACCTTGTGATGTCATTCAAGTTATCTTCCTTTTGCCTTTTTTCATTGGCATTTCCAGTGCTGAAATGATGCAAATTCTCCTAATGAAGGTGCATGGGGTTTAGAAACACAGTGGAGCACTTCCTATATTATCAAATGACATCACAAGTTGGAACAGTGTTTTCAGTTTGAGAGAAGAACTCATCTTAAATGTGCAGGAATTGTGTGTTTAACATATGTGCATGAAACAAAACACAACTCCAGGTATGTTTTGATGAGGAAACAACATTATAAAATAAATCAGAAAATAGAGTGATAAGGGCCCTTTAACTACATCCATCTAGCATTTATTTCATACAGGTCTAGATTAAAATTAATAGATTTAATACCATACTGTGGAATTCTACACCTTGAATTGATGGTGCTTTTCATTTTAATTTTCTTTTTTTACTCATTCAAAATATAATGCACTAAATAAAATCATTATAAAAAGGACACATTTGCCACATGTTTGTATTGAAATCGTCATCCAAAACTCCAGAGACAAGAGTAGTGTTCCTTCTTCTCCCCTTGATGGTTAAGTTCATTTGTGAAAACAGTTGGGCCCTTGTTCCTATGGTAACCTCTGTATTCTCACCACTCTCTCCATATGCATCTGCCTTAACCCCAAGGTGAACAATTAGAGGACAAATGACAAATGCATGTTAATGAATGGACACCGGCATCTCAATCTTTTGTCGGAAATGACTTGAAGAAACCACGAGTCACCATTCATTATGCAGATGTTGACCTCGGGACATTGCATAAGCCCTTTCCAGAGCTTAAAAGAACAGTAAGGTGCTAATTTAATGACCAAGCAAGCCTATTCTTTTAAATGAGTTGGAATTAGCCATGTTAATTGCTAATTTGACTTCACCCTGTAGATACTCTAAAACCCCATGTCGTTAGAATGTTCAAAATTACTGAATGGTGGCAAAATGAAGCTGACAATTAATTTGTAGTAGTACCGTATTTTCCGCACTATAGGGCGCACTTAAAAGCCTTTAATTTCATCAAAAAACGACTGCGCGCCTTATAATCCAGAGCGCCTTATATATGATTTTTTTCGGGTGTCTTAGTACGACTTTAGTAAACTATAAAGCCGCTCCACTTGCAGCATTACGGCTCCCGTAGTCAGGAGCATCAGGTGTAATAAATACTGTGATTCCTTTTAATATCAAAATGCACCTTTCAAGAGACACGCTTACAACGCCCACTTTAAACTCAAGGCTGTTATAAAGTGAAAGTGCGAGCTGTGTGGGAGCACTGGGTGAGAGAAGGCGAACACACATTCACCAAGACAGGGAGACAGCGCCGATTGATTACACCACGATCTGCCAATGGATCGTGGACGCCCGGGCTAAGGATCAGTATCAACTGTGGTCCGAGCTTTCTGTTGTGTACCACTGGAGTGGACCCCAAAAACAGACTCAGAACGAGGGCAAAAATGCAAAAAGGAAACAAAGGTTTATTGACGAGGCAGGATAGGCAGTGGAGGAGCGAGGAGCCAGGAGCTGGAATGCCGGAGTCTTCCACAGCGGGAACTAGGAAATACAAAAATGCAGGTAAGTAACAGGAAGCGACGTAGAAACAAAAACTGAGCCGACTGGTAGATCACCATCAGGTAGACGAAACAATCTGGCAGAGTCTGGCTGGAGAGCTGGGCCTTTGTAGCAGGCTTGATTGCAGATGGAGAGCAGGTGCTCCCAGCAGACTCCGCCCACATCCACACAAGGAAGACTCAGGTCACAGGCAGGGGCGTGACACTTTCACCAAGACCGGAATCATCACTGAACTGCCAGCTAACAGTAACCACACTGACTCAGATAATGACAAGAGGGATGCAGGCGTGAACAATTATGAGTTATTGTGAATACGCTAACAACTTAGTGGTCTCAGACAGTATTTTTTTTACATGTTACAGTTGAACAAGTTGAGAGTTATTGTGAACACGTTAAATAAAGTTTAACTGACTTATCCAACTGTTGTGTTTCGTTTAATGCGCCTTTTAGTCCGGTGCGGTTTATATGTGAAAAAAGTTCAAAAATAGACCATTCAATGACAGTGTGCCTTATAATCCAGAGCGCCCTATAGTGCAGAAAATACGGTATTTTCTGAAGACCTACTGAAAAGACTAAAGATTTACTTTTAACACGTTTGTAGTTTGAGCAAACACAAATATACAAAAATAAACACAGAAAAAACTTCAGTTAAATTGTTTCTGTTGAACCAAAATCCATCCCATATCTTTCTCAAAAACAAAAATCTATTTTTTTTCAAAAGGTACTTCATTCCGTTTACTTACAATACTTTTACTTGAGATTTTTTTGTTTTGTTTTTTTTGTTCCAGTATCTTTGAACCCATAAATATTTAGTAATACAATATAATAATACAGACTCACCCCATTAAATAAACTGTGAGTGAATTGGATAATGAAGTCAAGTGCAGCACAACGGCCCCCATGAGAGCGATCCCCCAGCACTTATGAGCTCATCAGACAGGCCCTCTTCACTCCCAGGACAAATTTACTGCTTCAATTTAAAAGTATTCAGAATCCTCTTCTTTAATTTGCTTTTGAATCATGTAACAATATTAGGACACTAAATAAACAATGCATTTATCAGACCTATTCAGCTTTAATTTCAGGAGGGCCAGATGGGCAATTGAACAGTTCCTTAGGGCTGCTTAAATTATCTGCAAATGAGGTCAGTCTGACTAGTTTGCAATAAGCTTCAAAATTGTTCTTTTATCTTTCACTTTTCTGTTTATGGAACATATTTCCCACATTTATTCATACTACAAACTGATTAGTTTTTTTCAGCCAGATGCTTTACAGTTACAACCTCCCTCCAGCCTGGAAAGAACACTGGGACACTGCTACATGGGTAAGGTCATAGCGTTAACTATAATATGAAAGGGACCATATTTCTCTATATTCTGATCTATGTTATAATGTTGTTTCCTCATCACAAACAGACCTGGACTTGTGTTTTGTTTCATTCACACATGTTTAATAGACAAGTTCTACATATTTAGTTCTCTCAAGCAGAAAACACTCTGTTCCACCTTATGATGTCATGTGGTAATACAGGAAGTGCTCCACTGTGTTTTCAAAGCCCAGGAATTGCCGGTCTCTGCTGAACTAAAGGTAAAAGGTAGCTGTTAACATGAAAACTACCACTTCATGACATCATAAGGTGGAACAGAGCATTTAATGTAGGGTGACCAGACGTCTCTATTTTGCCAGAACAGTCCCAGTTTTGAGCCGTGTGTCCCCTGTTCCAACAGGTTTATCCAAAACCAGTGATTTATCCCAGTTTTATATAAGAAATGTCCTATCGTTGACCAATGTGATCCCTGCCAACAGTAAAGAGAGGCATGAATTGTCATTTGTTTCAGTAAAATCCAGAAAAGCTGCTTAAAAATGACTAAAACACAAAGAAAATGACTATACTGACTCACATTAGTGCAGAGTGCAGAACAATTTTCCTTAATTGCACACTCATTTCACAATTGTATTATTACCAACCAACCCAAACCAGGGATGTCCCTGTTTTTTATTTTGAAAATCCGGTCACCCTGATGATAATGATAATGATAATGATTTATTATTATTTTTTTTTTTTTGTGCTTCAAAAACACATTCATGAACAAACTAAGGGGGCAAATTCTAAAACATGTAATCAATGGAACAAATTGACGTCATTCAAAAAGGACAGAAACCTGGCTTCCCTTTCCCTTTTTTCAATCAGTTTCAATGAGTATTTAATGATAAGGGTTACTCACACATGTGTGAATGAAAGCTAAGATATACATGGGTTTCAAAATTACAAAAAATTAGGACCATTGACAATTTAAAGCAAAAGTGCTCAAAATATTGCCTATGACAGGAAGCTGAAACCCATCAATAGATGTATGAAATTAGAAAATGCTAAGACAATAGATGTTACTCTTGTGTCAGATATGAGGCCCACTGAAGGATGCACTTGCTGACATCTATAATGATTATATTACCATTTTGTTATTGCCTCATTAGTTGTCTAATAGGCTAGAAATGGCGGGGTCAAATGCGTAGGACACAATACGGACACAATAAAGACCTCTACCATAACCACATAGATCTGACAGTGAACTCCATATGTGCAGACCTGTTGTCATTTTCTTAGGAGGCTTGATATAATTTTAGAATATTGCACCGATCACCTTAAAACAAGCCATAAAAATCAAGAGTGTCACGTGGTTAAGTAAGGAAAGCTAACACCCCCGTTTTGCGTCAGGATTCCTGGATGTGGGCCTAAAGGTGAACCGATGCAGGTGCGTGCGTGAGAGTGCGTGCGTGCGTCCTCGCGGGTGGAACGTGATCTTGAGGAAAGAGGAGTGAAGAGAAGAAGAGACGCTGCTTGGAGCCTCGTGACATCCCAACGCGCTCCCGTCCGCTGATGACCTAGAAAAACGAGCGTGCCTGCGTCGGCTCTACACTCCATGTGCGTAAGCGACGGCACACGGCACAGAGACGGAATGTTTACGTTGCCTCTTACGTTTTCATAAAGAACCCCACACCATTGGATCGATTTCTGAAAAAAAAAAGATCCACGTGATGTGTATTTTTATATCCAATAGTGATCCCAATACGCACGCTTCTTATTGAAAGTGATGGCAATGAACGCACGATTAACCATCCCCCACCAATAAGCATCTTTGGTTGTTTTTGGTCAATATAGCGCCCTCATGCACTTGACCCATTAACCGTGTGACCAAAACACAAACTGGCGCATGTCATTTACACACCCTCGTGCCAAAAAAGACCAGAACGAACTAACGACAGACGCACGAGTAGGAAAGAAAGGAAGAGAGGAGGAGAGAGCGGAGAGGAGAGGAGGGGGCAGGCTGTGGATGAGACTGGCTACACACAACACAATTGGAAAGCTTTGCACGCGGTAGGCGGACCTTGAGTACTTTTTCTCATCCCACTTTTTGAAGCAAGATTTACTGGGGAAAAACACATGACAGGGACGCACTTGGAAGCTTCACGTAGCGGGACACAGCGACGTAAAACCCAGCGCACGAGAGGCACAAGCGGTGTGGAGAAATTTGCACTTCTCTGGTGGTGAGTGAGGTTTTTTCTATCAATGGCGCGCTCCGTTCCCTCGCACAATGTCATATGCTTCTCGTGCCTGGTTCTAAACTTCCCAAGCTGCAGAAATTTTCCGCAATCTTCCAAAAATCGACGCAAATAGAAACCAAACCACGATTCTTCCATATGTCATGCAAAAAATGTGAATAACTCTTGCGTCAGATGGAGACGTTGAAGGATGCATGAGCTTGGCTGACATCACGGTGCACCTGACCCTCGGGGAAGCATGGTGGTGGCATTATTGTTTAATCACAGACGAATTATTTACTACAAACGCTAACTTCTGCACGGTTACGATAGAAAGTGGTTCTCCGTTTGCCTAGAACTCGTTGGTTTAACGTAGAGAAGACAACGTCCTTTCTGACCCCCTGGCTTTTGGATGTCTTCAGATTGTAGCGTGGGTTTGAAATGGTCTGCTGAACCCCGTCGTAAACATTGAACCAGTCTACTATTATTGATTTTCACTTATGTCTGTGCTCATAGTAATTTATGGTATGGACCTATAGCTTACGTTATGTAATAGAGACTTATAGTAGCACATTAATATAATAGGGAATTGAGTTACATTGTACTATTAGGCTTACTTTTTTTATATATTGACATGTTCAGTTGTAGATTAAGTTTACACATGTATATAAACCAATCTCAGTGTTAAAAGGTCCTATATTGTGCAAAATTAAGTGATTTTATAAGCTTTAAATCATGTTATAATGTAGTTACCTCCTCAAAAACATGCCAGGAGTTGCATTTTGTTTCATTCACACGTTTGAGTAACCCTTTATTATTAATCTGTCTATATCTCTAAAGCTTAGAATGTTCTGTGCCACATTGTGATGTCATGAAGTTGTTTTCAAGTTAGCGGCTATCTTACCTTTTACCGTTAGTTCCGTACAGATTGGCAATTCCAGGGCTGAAATTACCCGAATGATTCTAATGAAGGTGCATGGAGTTTAAAAACACAGTGTAGCATTTCCTGTATTACCACACATGACATCACAAGGTGCAACAGTTTGAGAGAAGAACTCCGCCTAAATATGTAGGGTAAACATGTGTGAATGAAACAAAACAAAACTCCAGGTCTGTTTGTGATGAGGACACAGCATTATAACAAAAAAGTAATCAATTGCAGCCATGATACAGAAGTTATTAGACAATATTTTCTTTAGAGTGCAATGTATTTACCAGAGAGAGATATTGTGGCAAGAATTGACCAGTTGTAGTGTTACTCTTGGTTGAGTTCAAGTCAGCAGGTCAATAATACAGTTGGTCATTAACGGCTTATCGAACAGTTGAGGTTGGCAGTGGCACGCTATAGCTGTGTTAATTTTGCAGCTTTAAACGAAATAGTGAAAGATTATAGGTAAGAGTAGGATTATCAAACGTGACTTGGGACTCAGTAATACATGACGTACAGGAGCCTAAAGTTGTTTGGAAGATAGTGTTGGGAGTAAATTTTTTGCTTTGTATGTATATTGACGATGATGTGCTATCAGTTTCACATGATTTGAATGTTTTTGAAGGCATTTGCATGTTCAAAACGTATAATATTTAGATTTTAATCAGTGTTAATTGCTATGGCAACAGTCAAAATTTTTCTCCACTCCAATACACATGGATAGTAGACATAAAGGATTACTTATATAATGTCAAAAGGGGAACAAAACATCATCTGTTCTAAGCTTAATTTGAGAGGGTACAGTTGGTGTTGGTTTGTTTTTTTAGTTAGCATGATTCAAAAAGTAAAAGATGTCTTAATTTTATTCAGCTTTGTTTTTGTGTGCAATTTAATTCATGCACAGTTAAGTCGTACATGTAAGATTCAAGAAAGTTTATAGTGTGTCCAGAGAGAGCCTGACTGCTGGACTTGACAGATGGAGACTCAAACCTGATGTAACTGGTCTGTTTCTGCCTCCAAAACCCAGATGCATTGTGGGAGCTGTAGTCTGATTAGTCCCTGTGATAGTTTTTGGCACTATTGTTTTATTAGAGTGAGAGCTTGTCCACGCTTTTGTTCATCACTCATACAGAAATGATAATTGAAATGGCCTAACCCCTGATTTACACATGAGTAATTAAAATTGGATGGAGCTTGTCTGTAGAGATAAAATGTTTTGTGGTAAAATAATAGAACGCTGAATGAGAGTGTGACCCTGCAATCTTTTCTATTGTGAAGAACACAAAATGTTAGATTCAGAAAAGCTTGGTCATTAGGACAGAGCTCAGTAGATAGAGCTGGTCCCATAATTCCTTTGCAATACTTGTAAGGTCAAAACATTGATACCCAGATATTTGTCAATAATAGAACTATTACTGAAGATAGATGTTTATTTAAAGGTGGACTATGTAACTTTTCGGGTTTAGGATGTGCCACCTGCTTGTATCCATAGTTACTAAGTATGACATTAATCTTGTCTATATGGAGAGAAGTAAGTGAAGCTACTAGAGAGATTTACAGGTCAGATCTGTGGGGAGATGACCAGACCTGAATAAATGTAAGACAGATATGATTAAGTTATATAATGTACCCTTATACAAAAAAATCACATAAAATTTAGATCTTTGTAGTCTTACAATGACCTTGCTCTTTCTCAAGTTTAAGACCAAGTGATAAAAATCAAGATAATACTATTAATTTGGGTTGATTGATTGATACTTTGCAGTGACATCACACTGGGGGTGTTCTACGTGTATCTCTGTGGTGGAATGTTCAGCAATTAACATGGACAAAATGCATTTAAACAACACATTTTTAAATTTTTAACAAAAAGATGAGGGTGACTAACTGAAAAACTGTTGGCTAATGCTCGCTAGTTTGTAAGTGTAATGATATTTGAAAGGGACTTGTTTAACAGCACAAATCCTGTTGTAGTTCTAACAAGTCACTTCTTTATGGTTAGATTGTGTTAAAACAAAGATCAAATGAAAGTCTAACTTGAGTAACAAATAACGATGTAACAATAACCAAAATATCATGATATCGTGTCATCAAAGGTCTCACAATAATATCGTGGACCATCACAATATATCGAATTACAAGTCTCTTTGCTTAAATTAAGAGTTATCATGCAGCAATAAAAAGACAGAGGGAACTACATAGACCATGATCCTTTGCTTCATTTCAGTGTAGACTACAAGAAGGAATAACACTTCTAAGCACTTTTAAGTCTTAGTTCTTTGGATTAAGTCTTGTCAAGGCATTTTAAGAGGAAAAAGTAGCATATTAACAGTTTGTTTGCCTCCACAAATATCGCAATAAATATCGTTCCATGAGGTGTATATCGTGAAAATATCATACCGAGAGATTTGGATATTGTTACATCCCTAATTGTGAGCCTCCCCACCACATCGTGAGCTTTCCTACGATATTGCAATAAATATCGTACCGTGAGGTTCATACAGTGATGATATCGTATCATGAGACTTGAATATTGTTACATCCCTAGTAACAAAGCTTCAGACAGAGCAGTGCCTAAAGGTTGATGATATCAGCTGCAAAGTATCAATACTGTGCAAAAAGGAGTGTTTTTTATTATAATCAAATGGTATCATGGTGGTATCAAAATTGGTATTGGTCGTGTCTTTTCCTTAGTATCGAGACATCCCCTTTCCTGAATACATCAATGGTTTCTGAATCATAACAACTATAATGTCCCAACCTGTTCTGCCCTACTTTTACTATTTGTTGTGGTCCTTTGAAATTTATTATTGGCAATTGTACTTTTGGTGCACGAACACAGATCCAGCCTCGTGGGACTTAGATCTGCCTCTGAAGAACAAAACCCAAACATGAAGAGATGTTTGATTATTTTACTGTGAGGATTTCCTACAAAGAAACACCCAGTTTTATTTTTTATACTACACCGGTTAAGTAGGCCTCTAGCTTGGGACTGAATGTCAAAAAAGTCAAATTATTAGTAAAATTCACCATATGTCTGTACAAGCGTGCAGGGTGTACACAGAAATATACAAACCAAAACAATATTTATAATGTAATCAAAAGAGTGTGACTGTAAAACAACACCAAAAACTGCTGGGTCTCTATACTTCTGAATGAACTCTTTAGTATTTATTCAGCATCTCCTTTGGTTTTTAAATATAAAGCTAGTTTCATATTTTCTAAGATATGACAACAAGTTAACAAGAAACATGATAACTGTTGCCATAGTGATTAAGTATTAAATACAACAAAGTACTATATCTTTTGAAAGGGAACAAGTCCTCAAAATATCATATACTGTATAACAAGATTATTTTATTTTTTTTCTATTTTATGGCAATATTTACAGTTAACATTGTGTTCAAATACAAAATACAAAGAGTCCATTACTTTGAAAGTCAAGAGGTTATTAGACTTAAGAGCATTTTATTTTGAAAGAGTGCCCTCTGAGCTGTTACTGCTAATGTCAGGGCGATTACAGGCTTTCAGGTTGAACTCAGACGCACCACTCTCAGCAGATCTGATCTGTGGAGGTAAATAGATGGTGTCTGATGTAGCTATTTGAGCGCTGGAATTGCTTATCGTCAAAAGTAGGTTTGGCTGTAATGAGAAAAGGACAGAAGAGGCTGCAAATAGCTGCTTGTTGAAGTGGCATTTGTCTGAGAGGAAAACAGGTGGCCTAGAAATACAGTTTTAGTGCAAGATATAAATTTCCTTAGCGAGACTGCACTTCTTATGAGGTTAACATTTACTTTATGGTCTCCCGAGGTGAATTCATTCTCTGCATTTGACCCAGTCTTCAATACTGCTGGGGTAACCTGGGGACCCATCTCCAGATTTTGAGCGAGGCTTGGTCAAGATTACTTCACTTTACTGTTAACGACATTACATAGGCCTACTGTCATTTAGTTTGGATCTAGACCGTAGGTGCAGATTTGTAGTCATGCTTTGGTGTGATTGTGGAGCAAATCTGTATTGTATTCAGACATCAGAACCAAGTAACCCTCATTTTTATCTATTTACATTAGATTAATCA